AAAGGAAGGTTGACTTGGATTCAGAGATATGAGAAGTATGAATCAAGCTCTTCTTGCAAAATAAGGGTGGTCCCTTCTTCAAAGCCCAACTTCTTTGTTCTCTCGAGTTATGAAAACAAAATACTACCCTAATAGCGGCTCTCTTGGTGTTTAGATTCACCGAATGCATCTTGGGGATAGAAAAGTATTACCATGGGTAGAAAAGTTCTTGAGAAAGGTGTTATTTGGCAACTTGGTTGTGGAGATAGTATTAACATTTGGAAGGACCCTTAGATTCCTTTCTTATAGAATTTTAAAATCCCAATTGAAAAGCCTCTTGGGTGTGATTTGGAGCTAGTTTCAAATCTCATTGACCGTAGGAATTGAACTTGGGATCTTTCTAAGTTTGAACTATATCTTTCTTCAACAGCTTACTTGAGAGGTTGTGAAGATCTACATCCCTTTGCAGAAATGGAGTATAAGATGATTTGGATCTTTGAAAAGACCTATCATGTGGCAAATAAAGGTCTTGTGTTGGTTAGAAATGGGTCTCTGGTCAATGATGGCACTACTAACTCCAATGATAGTGTGTTCTAGCATTTTATAGGGGTATAAACACTATCCCAAGGATAAAACTATTCTTGTGGAGGGTTTGCCACAATAGCATCCCGGTCTTTACTAATCTCCATAGTAGAGGTATCAGACCAACTAACATGTGCCCTGTTTGTTTTAGTTGTAGCTAACCAGTGGAACATGCTTTACTCCATTGTGAAATGGCTAGGATTATCTAGTTCGGTTCCCAGCTAGGTTGTCATTTCTTGCCAGAAGGAAATATGTACCAATTTTAAATCCATTCTATTGTCTCTACTTAATGATGCAAAGTTATCAAAGTTGGAGAAGCAGAAACTGTGTTTAAACCTTGCAATAGTTGTCTGGGTTATCTAGAATAATAGGGAATTATTTCATTTTTAATGGCTAGAATCTGAATCCCCAATCTACTTTGTACTCCAATAACAAGTATCTCAACCAGTCAGCAGTGCCGAATCAAGTTCCCAATCTAAGGTGTGCGGAGCAAGTTTGTGAGATTAACTAATGGTGCTCTTTGTCCATGTGCAACCTACGTACGTTTTAAGACCTTAATGGTGGACAGTGCATTTTTTTCTTCGAGGTATGCTGGTATTTGTGCAGTTCTTTTTGACTCAGATGGCAGATTTAAGGGTTCTCTCTCATCTAGTGTTGATCAAAGTTTACCCATCTTTGTTGAAGCTCAAGCTTTGCTCATTGGTGTTAATCTAGCTAGAAGGTTAAACATGAAGTACCTTCATATTTTATTCGACAGTTACACGTTGGTTCAGGCTATAGCAAATGATTTCTCTCTCCTCCCTTGGAAAATCTGAATTTCTTTTGGATGTTAAGGTGGAACTTGGTTTTTTTGATGAAATTTATATCTATCATCTTTCTAGGGAGCTAAATTCTATTGCTCACTTTCTTGCTCTTCAGGAATAATGTAAAGGGGAATGGCTTCTCTAGTCCACGTATTGGATCTTTCCTTTGTTAAAAATGTTAGTTTGTATGTCTGATATTTTGAAATGAACCTCCTCATATTTCTTTTGGCAAAAAAAAAAAAAAAGAAAGAAAAATTATCCTCATTTTTTAACACTATGGAAGATAATTTTTTGAACACAATCACATTGTTTAAAAAGAAGGTTGACATGACCAAGTGATTCTATGTATCACGGGCCATATTCTATATTGTATAAAATGCAATACATATTTTATACACAAAAAACATATAATCATATATGCTTTTTAACATATTAATATATTATAGGTATTTTCACACATTATATTATATTATATTTTTAGCATACTATATATTATTAGGGAAAATCTATGATACCAGAAAGATATATGAAAAGAGTTTTGACCAATCAAAACCCACCCATGAATTTTGATAAATGACACCTGATTCACTACTACGTTTATGATTCCAATTTATTGGTCAATTATTTTTTCAATATCATATCTTTTCCATATCATAGTCAAACCCATATTATTATTCACATATGATAAATAAATGGTGGTCAAACCTCTATTTTGGTGTTGAATCCATGTACGACATAGACAAATTGAGAATAACCCTTTTGGGGGCTGTAAAGGATATAGAACTAAGAGGCTGAGAGAAGAGAAACAATCTTTGTTTTTTCAGTTATGGGTAAAATGGTAACAACTATGGCAAGCTGTGGTTTTACAATGCTAACAACCACGGAAGGTGGTGGCTCTACAACGACAACAATAGTGGCAGGCAATGGCTTTGCACGAGGTGTCTGGATTTGCAACCGGTGGTAGAATGAAAACTTGTGCCACTCTTTTATTAAATTTTTTGTTTAATTAAAACATCCCAATTTTTGAATTTGGTCATTCTCTAACTGTAATGACAAAAATGTCATTTGAACAACCACTTTTCTCTTCATTTAAAGCTCTTTCATTAAGTCTTATATTTAGGGTATTCACTTTCATTATTTCATTGAATCTTATATTAATTAACCATATGAATTCAGTAAAACTATATTAAGACTGAGAAAACTTTATATGGATTGTATAAAAATTAAAGGTTTCAGTCAGTTGCAAGTTCAACCCAACTCAGCAACCATTATTGTACTCAAAGAGCAACTCCTTTCAACTCCAAATGCACGAAATCTGAGTGAGTTTGTTTGTAGCTGTATAGGATTGATTTATTAGCTTATTCCATAATATGATCAGTTTTTGCTTCTACAATAAACAAATTCACTCCGAATCCAATGTGTTTGAACTTGAAGGGATTTTCTCTTTGAACCCAATAAAAGAATCCTAAACTAATTAAGCCTTAGAAGTATGGAAAACCATATCAGAGCCCATTTTGTACTATCCTTTTCTTGCTGTAATTTCTCCTAAGTTCATGATTGATTTATTATCTTATTCCATAATATGTTCTGTTTCTGTTTCTACTACGTACAAATTCACTCTCGGTTCAATGGGTTTGGACTTGAAGGGATAAGAATAAAAATGACAAGAGAAAACTTCACATTTTCAAACCCTATTGTCCCCAATCATTGATGATAAACCCTATACTCCCGAGTCCTAACCATTAAGAGCAACAAGAACCATCAAAGCTTTCGGTCCAAATGACAATGGCAACTATTTGTGGCAAGTTGCAATGTCAAGAATATTGCAATAGGGAGCTGTCCACAACATTTAGGATTCTTCATCCTTTATTCTTGAATGTTGGTGGCAATATTGTTTTGTGCTTTCTTGTTGATTCTCAGTAAACAGTGGTATTTTGTGTTGGGAAAATGGGGTCTAGGGGTGATCATTTCAGCCTAGCCTGCATAAGTCCAGCCCAAAAATTCCGGGCTTAGGCCTGGGTTTTGTGTTCAGGTCCGGCTCGGGCCCGGGCCCATATCAGGTCCGCAAATTTTAGGGTCGAGCTTGGGCTTAATACTTCAAGTCCGGCTCGGGTCAGGTTCGGCTCGCATATATTTAAACTTATACATTTTATGTATAATGTATACATATGCATACATGCTATTTTACATTATGTTAGATATTTTATATATAAATATTATAACATGACATGTATAATTTATATTATATGTAATATTTTATATTACATGATATATAAAATAAGTTTATATGCATGTTATGACATTTAATGTAGATACGTAATGTTTTATATATGAGTGACATTGGCCCACCTGGGCCCGTATAGACCTGGGCTAGGGTTATGTTTCAGGCCCGGAACCCTGGCCCATGATCACCCCTAATGGGGTCACAAGATTTGGAGGAGAAGCTTTAGAACATTATTTACCCTTACTCATTTTTACTAAGTTTGCTATTAGGAGGCAAATTTGTTCTTTGGATACAACAGAACCTTGGGTAAGAAACTGCAACTAACAAAATTAAAGAATCTCTGAAGAAACCTTTTGTAAGACAGTAGCAAATTGGACTAAGAAACCTTATGTGAGACAGTAGCAAATCTCTAAAGAAACCTTATGTGTTAATTGGCTTAGTTTATATCCTTTATATAAAATTTGGAGAGTCATTATGAAGAGGAGTGCGTTGGTTTGAAGAGCCTCTTTGTACAATCACGATTTCAAACTTTGTGACTGTTATTAGTTAGTTAATGGTTAGTGATAATTAATGTTTAAATAGTGTCTCTTAATCACACCCGATTAAGTCATGGCCGTTGGGTTAACTTAAAACGTCAAAGGTCATGATTCAGCCTTAAAACCAAATACACCCTTATACATGGTTAAAACCATACGCGATTTCACATATCTTGAGATTTTGCAAAATCTACAATTTGCGGTTTTGCAAATCGCAATAATTATGATTTACAATTTCACAAAACTCACAGCTTACAATTTGCAATTTTGCAAAAATCCCAATATGTGATTAATGTGCCATTGCATCAAAAGTCATCCCACTAAAAATATAATCACTTCTTGCAAACCATGCGAATGTGTGTGGAGTGAGAGCAAAGTGTAGTTCTAAAGCACCTCATTGCAACACATATTGCATGTGCGCGCGTTGTGTGGTAGCAAGTCTATATTCTCCTCTCTATAACTTGAGTGTAAACAAGCTCGAAGAAGAAGAAGAAGAAAAGAGGGGTTAAGGTTTGTCAATGTTATATTTTATGCAAAATTACATGAATACCCCTTTTCTCATGCATAAATTAGTCTCAGCCTTTCAGATGTTACTTTTATTTAAAACGACAGCAAGAATTTTTGGGTCACAAGAATCAAATTCTTAGAAGTGAATCTAAGAAACGGGCCTTCAGACGAGTTTTATTTGAATAGAATTTGTTTTTTGGAAATGGCCTAACAAAACGTGATTCATCTGGAGAATTGTGAGAATCCCTTAGAATTCATTCTCCGGAGTGATGCCAAAAGGCCAAAAGGGATAACAAAAAGAAGATTTACAAGGCTTTCTTTCAATGTTTTTTTAGCAACCTTTCTTAACAAAAAGAAAACAAAAAACATTTTAAGGAGTAAACACGCAAAATGAGTGAACTTGAAGGGAGAATCCCTTCGAATCCAAATGCACTGGATCCAGAGTAAAACAAATCATGTACAACAGTCAATAGGCTACATAACCCATGAATAAACACATCAGCAATGCATAAAAGTACTAGATCTCCAGTTACAAGTAGTGTAAAATGCCTTTGTAGTAGATCGAGAAGCATGGGGGATCCCAACTGGGAATCAACTTCCAGTTTCACCCAAATAATATAAGAGAAATCCAGCTTTTTTGCTTCTAGTAACTTACTTCACAAATGCTTCCACCAAAAATATAATGCTCGAAATATTAGCAGGACTGGGCCTGGTAATGATAGCTCCTTGACAAGACCATCAAAATTCAGTTCCATAGGGGGTGATTGAGGAGAGTATCAATGAACAAAAAAATATTTAGACCATGGATATAGAGGAGTGTTCATCTGGCCATGGTTACTAGAGGGTTATTTTCTGCGCCTCAAGGAGGTGTTCTTCCGCCAAACTCCAAAGCAAACCAAGAAGTGAGAGCTGTAGTACCATTTAAGGCCTAAGAACAACTGTAGCAGACACAGAGGAAGTGGCTGAAATTTTGGAAGACACGAGGGGATTGCTGCAGACTAGCAGCCAAACAGTTTGTGAAAGCTAGAGACCATCCCATGCTAGGGAACAAGGCACAACCCATAAGTTGCCCCGGAATGTGGATGCAAAGCTTTTTTTCAAAGGCTCTCTTATGAGCTCTTCCAGAGTTGTGCCTTGATAAGTTGGTATCATGATATCATGTTGAGGGTCACATGGAAGAGAAACGGAAGAGATGGTTTTGTTCATGGGAGAAAAATCACTTCCATCTTGAAAGGTCTTTTTGGTCTGCACTCCACGTTAAGAGAAGACATTATTTTGAATGTTCTGTTTTCTGAAATTTCCATTTTTCTTTTTCTGAAGCAGACCGATTGTGATCATTAAATCCCAACAGATTTCCCTTAACTCGTTGTCTTACAATATGCTTGCTTACAACTTACAGGAACCAAATATGCACCATTTGATTGATGGGGTGCGGCTTACTAGCTGAATTAAGCGATTAACCAGTGATTCTCATCAATCCTTGATAAATTTCTGAGGTCACTCATTTCCAGTGAATCATGCTTTTAGACACGATGAACCCATTGTTCAAGTCGAAGCTGCTTCAAAGGAGGCCCAAGATTTGACTTCCTTTCCTGGGGGCATCTCCATTTTCCAACAATTCCGGTCACGGCCTCACTCTGAAAATTAGTCCTTTCTGATAAAGGCTTTCTTCCTGCTTCAGAATGATCACCACCAACTGGGGACGCCATAGACACAGTTCTAGAACACTCAACATTCACTTCTTGTTTCCTTTTCATAGAATTTCCATCAATTTGCCTTGTACTTCTGTTCTTCCTTGTTGAAATGAAACCATCATTGGCAATATATGTTCCTTGATTTTCTTTATCACTGCTTGTTGGATTTGATTCCTTGGTAGAAGCTCCACTAATTCCTCTCTCATTAACATTAGCTTCTGACGATATATAACCGAGTTGTTCTGTTGAAACTTTGGCTCCCAAGCTTTCTTCTTTGGAGTACCTACGCTCAAGCAAATCTCGTGAAGATTTCCCATGGTTTATGCTTGAACTTTTGTTGATATTCGATAACAGAAGACTGTGTTCTTCCTCTAATATTCCTTGCAGCCTTTGCAGGGAATCCCCACCTTTGAATCTTGCTCTTTCACCAAAGTTATGGGCGTGCACTTGTTGGTCGCTCAATTTTTCATCTTCACCGATCTCGCTAAATAATAGGCCAGTAGTACTTTCAACCAAATGGTTTCCCTGTGATTTTAAGGAAATTACTAAGCTAGCATATCCACTTAGAAGATTGACTATTTCCACAGATGCTATTAGATGAACAGCTTGGCCAAATGATCTAAGACAAACAGAAAAACTCTTGAATGTATACTACACAGTTGAAAAAAATAGAAAGAAGAGTACCTTGTTTGCTGATTGGTTTTCCTGCTCGTCATTCCTGACTAATCTCCTGCATTCAGCAAACCCATTTAAACATTTCCACCCACCTTCACCTACTACAGAAACCCCTTCGTCTCTCTTCTTAAATTTCCCCAAACCATTCTCTTTCCCTCCGCTGGTCTCCTCGAAAGCAAAACCCTTATCTTTCTGACTTCCAATCCCCTCATAACTAAAATCCTCGTTAATTGAACCCGGAGATTCATACACATAACTCGAGAACCAGTTTCTGATGTCGGGAGGCTCTGATAGATCAAAATAAAGACGAAGAGCACTGATAAAGAAAACGGGCTCAATTACTTCAATACACAAATTTATATGCAAATGGGAGGCAACCAAAAAAAATGAAATATTCAATACGAACCAGAAGGGAGTGAAAGCGAGTATGAGGAACCTGGAATCTACAATGAACAACAGAAAACCCGAGAAAAATTAAGTTGCACAAACAAGAAGCATTTAGCGCAGAGCATAGACCCATCAAAAAGCAAGAAGAAAACTGAGGGATAGAGGGGAGAAATGGAAGATTTATACAGGTGGGGATGGGGTTCTTACCTGGGAATCGAAGGAGTTGACGATAGAGTTGGAGCAGTTGTGAATATTCAGTTCTCCAATTTCCTCCGCCATGGTAGTGTTCGAAAATCGAAACTAGCAAATACAGTGAGAAGTTTGAGATATTCGTTTCGTTATATAGCAAGAAAACCCTGAGATCTGCAGTGGTCATCCTTTTCTTTTCAAATTTACCGGGTGCATTGGGCGCGAGATACACCAATTGAGTACGGATATTTCGTTCAGTTCAACCCGACAGCCGACAGCCCGACACCCGAGATTTTACACGGGCTGGGCCTGGGCCAAAAAATCTTGGGCCTGACCTAAATTCGGGTTGATGCCTCGGTAGCACGAGCCGAACTTTGTCTCGGCCTGGCCCGGCCCTATCTAAGCCCTATCCAACCCGAGCCCGCCCGATGATGTATCATGTATGACATGGTTATAAAAAAAGTAGGGTAAATTATAGATACCCTGTACATTTGAGTACTCTGAACTCTCAAAAATAGATACTTAGGTCCATTCGTTAGTATTCTGTCATAATGCTAAAAATACCCTTCTCGTGTATTTCTAAGATCATTCTCAAGTAACCGAACATCTCCCCACGATGGCGTTCTCACATGGATGACAAATAATAGATTCAAATTTTCCGACAATGACATTTTTTGGTGATGATTTTACTCTGTAGAATGATCTAAAAAATGCACAAGGGTATTTTTGACACTATATAATGTTTAACTGAAGGAATACTAATGGATTGACCCAAGTGTCTATTTTCGAGAATTCAGAATACTCAAGTGTTGCAATTAAAAGTTCAGGATACCTATCTATCACTATCCCCAAAGTACAAGATACCAATATGTAATTTACACAAAAAAATATATATGTTTAGTTTTTTATAATATGTATAAGATTTGCTTAAACTCATTTTATGCATTTTATTTATAATAAAAACATATTTTTTAATTAAACATATGTACGTATATTTATTAAGGCGTCTATAAATATTTTTAATCTATTCTATTCATAAATGGTGCTATAAAGGCCAATAAAAATAGATGCATAAAAGAGATTAAAAATAACTCAAGCTCAGCTTGATTTGTGTTGGGCCTGGGTTAGCAAACTCAGTCTTGACCTCGGGTTGGTCCAGGCCTGAGCCCAAGGTTCAAAGCCTAGAATTGGGTCAACCCGACCCAAGCCGCCCAATACACCCGTAGTTCTCACTATTTTTCTTCAACGAATCTCAAATTAGTGCATTGGTTTTCTTTGGAAATTGTTTATATTACATGCATCTAATGATTTTCTCATTGATCTATGGATCAATTTTGTTATGAGATTCATGAGTTTTTTTTTTTTTTTCCAATGGTTTTAGAATAAACTGCTGTACATTTATATTTTCCTAAGATTTTCTTTTAATGATACATGAGGAGTTTCCCATTCAACATTTATATCATAGAGGGGTAAAACATAAATCAGGTTAGATCCATGAATCCATTGTCAAATTTATCCATAAACATCATTGTTTTCCTTCAACAAAAAAAAACATTGTTTTTCAATTGTTTTACATAAAATATAATATGTTTAATTAAAAAAAACAAATTTTACTAAAACTCGTTTTTAAAATCATTTATCCATTGAACTTAGACTATATAAACATGTCCTATCATTTCCCTGATATTCATTATTCCTTAAATCTAAATACAATTTTATATCCAAATTATATCTTTCTACATTTAATCAAAATATAATAAAACTTTATATATTAATACTTGTAAAATTGTCTAATAAATAATTATCTTGCATGTTAAGTTGAAATACATCTGTTTAGTTGGCACCTTTATGATACCAGTTGATTGGCTACAAGTATCTTGCACCTTTATTCCTAATGTTGTGTTTGGTTTGAAAGAAAAAGGTAGGGAAAGGTATACTACCTTTCTAGCTTTCCCTATTTTTCCCTTCCTTTCAAACCAACCACAATGTAAGGAAAAATGTGTATAATTCAACAATGAAAATAAATTTATATGGTCAAACATTTGAGCATATAAACATAATACGATGAAATTTTGTGTAATAATAAATTCATATTTAATCTATCTATCATGTAAAAATTAGGGTTGAAGAATTTGGTACATAATTACATATATGCAGGTAAGCATATATGTTATTTAGATGAATGTACATATAATAAAATGTAATTTTATCTTGGTAATATGTGTAGAACAAAATAGTATGCAATAGTACCTTTGTGTAACTATCCATTTGATACTGCAAGGAAACAAGTAAAACCCTAACACTATATATGGGTTGGAAGCACTGTTTTCTGAAAAAAATGGTGTTTTTTTTTTGTTTGGAAATGTTGCTGCCAGGTAGGATGTTTCCTGGAGCAACAGCAATGTTTTCTGTTTGGTACCAATGCTCCAAGAAACGTTTTCAGCATTGGTACCCATTATCTAGTGCCATGTCATGTCCCTGTCACTGCCACCTCATGTCCCTATTGGCAGCAATGAGCTGCAGCTCTAGGAAATGCCAAATTCGGTATTGCTCCAAACCACGCATTCTCGATTTTCAAGGCATGGCTTGGAGTACCATTTTTTATGAAAAAACAGTTCCAAACAAACAAGCGTTTCCTGGAGTACTGTTTTTCCAACGTGACGCTGATGTGTCACCATTTTCCAATGTGGCGCTGATACATTTGCAAAGCAAATAACAGAAAATAAAAAACATGAATGAGAAAAAGAAATAAGGAAAAAATTTTCTTTCAAAGAGAGAGTTTTGCTTCTTCTCACTCTCCATTGTTTTTCTTGTTCCTTACATCCTTTATTCCATTTTCTTTATAACCAAAAGCAACACAATTATACTCTACATTGTCTACATTTCCACCAAACAGAGCGATAATCTACTTCCCTTTCACTCTTTCTTTTCACCATTTTCCTCTTTAAAATCAATTACTCTTTTTCTCCATTTGTCCCACAAAGAGAAGGGAATCAGGGGTGGGGATAGAGCAGGGTGCATGTAAGACCCACTAGCCATATCACAAAAAGCCCGTGGCTTCGTGGGCTTAATCTAGTGCTTCCTATGTTGGAGGGGTGCCGACTGCCGACTAATCTTCTTAACTATTAGGTCAGCGGCCTCTCTTCTAGCAATTGGATCCATTCTTTTTCATCCTACATAGTAAAGATTATCCATATATTCAAATCAACCGTAAGTAGTAAGTAGTAATTAGAGTCTTGTAGGGGAGAAAGACCAAACACCAAATGATGCTACTACAAATTTGTCCCAATTTTTTAATAAAGGCTACATCAAGATGGCTAATATCAAGGGAAAAGTCACCAGATGTTTCAAGATAGACTTTCAGGCAGCTCCTCCTAGACACCCCACCCTATAGCTTTGACACGAAAGGTTTTATCACATGGGTCAATCATGCTCCTCTATAATGATTTAAATTTTGCAACGTATCAAGGTGTGTTGATTGATATGTATTGTATCGGCGACCCTTGATATGCCCCTACAATAGGTGTTTCGAGGTCTGACCTGGTTTAAGGGGTAGATGGGCTTTAAACTGGATCCTCTGAGCTGGTTTGGAAAAAAAAAGAAAAAAACAGAAACAGAAAAACACCCAACAATACAGAGTGCCTATACGTCCCAACTAGCATATCAACCTGTATCGATATTTAGAATCTTGTTCGCCTATACAAGGTTTTCAAATAGAAAACCCACTCCTCAAAAAGAGTTAAATCGGTTGACTATACTCATAATAATTAGTTTCTCCCACTCATACAAAAGGCTATCCACTCTCACACCTTTAATAACTAGTCTAAACAAAAATCTGAAAAGTGGGTACTCCCATTTTGAGAGCAGGTTCATCCACTCCTAAAAAACTGTAAGAGTGCTTGCTCTCAATCACAAACAAATTTTAATTTTAATCTTAATTAAGATCCCTACGGTTCAAAAACTGATTTTGCATTTAAAGTTATGTAAATTACCAAAATTTAGTGTAATTAGAAAATCTATTATAACAATAATAATTAGTAATAAAATACTGACTATTGATAAGAATATAAGAAAATAATCATCACCATTACTAATTAAAAATAATATTAATCTATAATTAAATAATTAAGAAAATATTACATTTTGATTCATGTATAAATTTTTACAATAAAAATTTTAATTATATAGTTATTATGATAATAAAACTATTAATTAAATACATAATAATAACAACAATAATTAATTAACTAAATATTACAATACAAATAATCTTTAAAAAATAAAGAAATAGTAATAAAAAGTTAGACATTCTTTTACTTAAACAAAATAAAAATTAGCCCTATACTTAGTATACGGTCATTCTCTAGTTTAAAAATCCACTAATCTTCCACTTAAAACTAATAAACATTTCAATTCCACTTAAAACTTAATAAATACTAATAAAAACAATAAATTTAAATACAAAATATTAATTTATAGTTTTAATAATATTATGATTTAAACATGGGTTTGATATATTGCAAATAGAACCCATGTTCTAATGTTGTATTTTGTTTGTACTAATGCATTTTAATTAATTAATTAATATTATTATTAAAATTAATAATTTTTATGAGTTGAGACATTTACTATGCATAATGCCTATACTACACAAGAGACTTATAAATTTTAATGAAAATTTAAAATGTAGAACCCATTTTATCACTCAGACAAAGAAGACAAGTTAAAGAAGTTTATATTGACCCGTTTTCGAAAATAGTTCCGAACTTCCGATTTATCTATATAATAAATATATAAAACAACAACAACAACAACAACAACAACAATAATAATAATAATAATAATAATTTAACAAGTTTTTATCTAGAAACTATTAAAAGTTAAGAAATTAATAAAGATTACTAGTTCATAAATTAAAAAACTAAAATACAACTTAATTCTATTTGAATATAATTAATATTAATAATTAAAATTAATAATAAAAAGTAAACAATTAACAATAAAAAGTTATGATAATTTAAAATTAATAATAAAAAGTAAACAATTATGAAAAATAGTAAAATAAACCATTTTCATTCCATATAAAAATTGTAAAAATTAATTATGTCATAAGACTCCTACTTAGGGAAAACCATTTATAACT